CTGGTGATCTGTAGTTCTAGCAAACAACACAATTGCTTTTTTCTTTTTTCAGTGCTGGAGACCAAACTCAGGGCCTTGCACGCGCCAGGCAAGCGCTCTGTCACTGAGCTACATCTTCAGCCCTCATTACACAGCTACTTTTTAAAAAAATTTGGTGTTTACTGGACTTTGAACTCAGGGCCTACACCGAGTCACTCTACCAGCCCTTTTTTGTAGTGGGTTTTTTGAGATAGGGTCTCCTGCATTATTTGCCCAGGCTGGTTTTGAACCTGATGGCTGCTTCCTGAGTGGCTAGGATTACAGGCGTGAGTCACTGGCTCAGAAAGAGGTTCCACACACTGCCAAGGCCAAGGGCCAGCCCTTCCCACTGGGAATGGAAACACAGGCTGTGCAAGACTTGCAATAGGAACTCTGGCCTCAACACTTAGTTGCCCAAGGCCATTAGTCCCCGTTTCTGCCCCCCCCCAAGAGGATAGATAGAAAGGCCAGTCATGCCCAGACAGAGCTGCAGTCGCCACCCTGGAGGCCCTTGAGGGCGGACCTGGTGCTTCCTTCCCCAGTGTCCCAGGCTCCTCACAGAGCCCTACTCATAGCAGGTACACAGACAAGGAAGTCTTCAAATGAATTATTAAGATGGAATGCCCCATGAGTGACACAACACGGCCTGCCCAGTTGTCTAGTGATGAGGATGCCAGTGGCCTCGGTAGTCCTCGGGTGTGAGACACTTAGCACACAGCCTGCACCACGCCACCCTCAGCAAGCTGGACCCATGACTGCGGGACCCTGTCCTCCACAGGACTCCAGGAAAAGGCAGAGGGACTCACTCACCCAGGTCCCCTCCACATCCAGCTCTTCCCACTGAGTGAGGGGCTGCAGGTCAGAGGTCAAGGATGGAAGCCATGGGCCACCAGCACTTGGCATGTGCCTCACCCTCTGGGAATGTGGCCTCCCGGCTGGAAAAACCTGTCTGAGACCTTTGTTCTTCGAATTGTTCATCTGCCTCTGAATTCTAGGCATTGGGCTGGCACACTAGAACCTAGAGCTCACTGTGGTCCCCCAGGCTGGCAGCACCAGGGTCTAGTCCCAGGTCCCACAAACACTGCCCAATCAGCATCTGCTTTCTTTTTTTTGGTAGTACTCAGGTTTGAACTCAGGGCCTCATGCTTGCTAGGCAGGTGCTCTACCCCTTGAGCCACTCTGCCAGCCCTTTTTTGTTGGGTTTTTCAAGATAGGGTCTCTCAAACTACTTGCCTGGGCTGGCTTTGAACCACGATCCTCCTGATCTCTGCCTCCTGAGAAGACAGGACTATAGGCAGGAGCCATCAGGTGCCTGTCTTTTCTTTTTTCCTGAGAGAGGGTCTCACTGTTGGCCTTGAACTCTCCACCCTTCTGCATCACCCTCCCAAGTGCTGGGACTATAGACATGCCTTTCCACACCTGTAGTTGGAGCTTCCTTTTTTTTTTTTTTGGTAGCACTGGGGTTTGCTAGGCAGGTGACCTTACCAGCTCTTTTTTGTGATAGGTTTTTTAGAGATAGTCTTGAGAACTGTTTGCCCGGGGCTGGCTCTGAATGGCAATCTTCCTGACCTCTGCCTTCTGAGTAGCTGGGAATACAGGCACAAACCACTGGCGCCAGGCAGAGCTCACTTCTGCCTCCGCTTGCAGCTCCCAGGATCACACGGGACCCTAGCTAATTCCAGGATAATCTATTCTTAAACCAACCAATTACCTTAATTCCACCTGCAAAGTTCTTTTGCTGTGGGATGCAGCATAACTGCAGGTGTGACCTGAGAAGGTGAAGGTCCCAGAACTGTATCCACAGGTCACACTGGGACTGAACACTTCAAAAGGGCACCATGCAGCGCTGGGTGTGGTCAGTCGTCCCCACCACCCGGCCTCCACTGGCCTCCTCCATTCCCTCCCTTCCCGGAAGCACATTTGGCTGGAGATCCTGTCCTCTCCAGACCAGCTGTTCTCAGCTGCCCAACAGAAGGGTCACTATTAAGAACAGGCCACTGCAAAAGACAGTGACCAGGTTCACATCACTGTCCTCCCCTCCCCACCCTGCACCCCCCAACCCGCCGTGGCCCCTGCAGGAGTTCTGGAGGCCTAAAGGGTTGGCCATTGGCTGCCTGGCACCCCTGTGCCCAGACAGCAGGGCCACACCCTGCTCCATGGGCACAGGGGTCGTGTCCCCTCAGATCCAGAACTAAGGGCTGCTGGTCAGTCCAGAGTGGTGTGTCCCATGGACTCTCAATTCATGCTGTGGAGTTTTCATGTTTAAAGTGACCAGTCCTGGACAGCACCAGCTCTCAGTGAGTTCTGGTCGTTTCCAAAAAGCAAGCCCACCCTTCATGGGCAACCCCCGCCACTGCTGCCAGTGGCCAAAATCTGCTACATGGGCTTTGGAAAGCAGCTTCAAAAATCACGGGTTAGTGCTCTAGACATGGAAATGTGAGACCGTGGTGTTGAAGACTGTAATCACTGGGCAGGAGAACTGTCCAAAACCCAGGCACGGCTTTCGAGTCACGTCGAATCTAGTTTTGCAACGCAGAGGATGAAATGAAGGAATCCTGTGAAGGCTGGCCTCCCTGCACTGAGGCCAGTGTCGGCACACACAGAAAACCAGAAAACCAGCGTTGGGAATCAGGGAGCAACTTGAATTTCAAAGAAGCGCTTTTCCTTAGTGTGTGAACGAGTGTGGAAAACTCTGAGGTCATTTTAGAAACTGTTTTCCTCAAACTGCACCTTGACTTTACAGGAGAGCCAAGTGAAATTCCACACAGACTGTGTCAAAGTCACAAGTACGCGATGCCCTCTGCACACCCAAACCCCAGAGGGTGTAGGCAGAGATGAAAGACTTCTCTGCCCTTTCCTGATAAAACGCCACTGAAAAACCTGTAGCCCCAAAGGAGGGCAAGCATTTATTAATCATCTCCTCACCTGCCCTTAATCCCTGCAGCCCTGAAGCTAAGCGCAGCTCGGAAGAGAAACCCATTCTGCCTCCTTGTCCATCCTTGGTCCAAAGCAGGTGACGGGTTCCATTCAAACTTCGTTTCTGCCAGCAGCCTGTGTAGAATCTGAGAAGTCCTCCATCCCAGATCAGGTAGTCCCGTCACACATGGCCTGTCTTAGCTGAGCACTGCACCACGTATAGCTAGCGGAGGACGAAATGTGGAGCGCGTCTACAGAAAATCCAGCAGAGGATGCGCTGTGTCCTGTGTGGGGCTAGCCTGTGTGTTTACACTGGGGCTGTATGGTAATGTCACTTAGTGACCAAAATGAAATAAACTTCTGAGTCCCAAATACAGCAGCATGGAGATCTAACAAAACTAGTCCACAATTTTCCTTCAGCTAGGAATTACACTTAGTGACTTCATTTTTACTTTCATTTTTGGCAGTACTGGGAGTTTGAACTCAGGGCCTTGTGATCACTAGGCAGGCGCCTTACCACTTGAGCCATGCCCCCAGCCATATTTCCCTTGTGCCCAAGTTGTCACCAGCCTTGTTTGTGCCTCCCACAGAAGTGGGGTGACAGGTACCCAGCTACTGGACCCGCCTAAGTAGCTGAGTCGTCTTCAGCCTTCTGGTGTGACATGGAAGTGTGTGGGCAGCAGCACCACACAGGAGACTCGAGGTGCCTGGTCTGCAGAATCAGAACCCGCAGGCTATGCAGCTGCCCAGACAGGACAGAAACTCAGCTCTGATGGTCCAAGACTTCCCTCCACTCCTAGCAACTCATCACCCATCCCACAGACCTGCCCCCGCTTGCTGTTTCCTGGGACCTTGTCAAAAGGCTTGAGAATGCCATTCCTCGTCCCTCCTCCCTCCAGCCCATGCCTGTCACTGCCACTGTCATTATCATGCTACCTCTGAGCTTGTCTGCTCAGAGCACGTCTTTCCATCTCTGTGTGCTCAGAGGGTCTGGCCTGACACCCTCTGGCACACAAGACAGTGATAAACTTCAAGGAAACAGAGTCAGGAAGAGCTCTGAGGTCACAAGCAGTCAGGGGACAAATCTGAACGTGGGAACAGGGAGGGGCTCGCAAATGAGTTAGTGGCTCTGTGTGATCCCACTTTTCTCTCCACCCCCCACCCCCAGCATTGGACGCTGGCATGGCATTGTGACTGTTTCCGGTTAGAGACCCAGCCTGCTTTTGTCTGTGCTAAAACCCACTGTTTGTATTACACTTTACAAACCCACAAATCAACAGATTTATCAAAAACACTTAGGAATTTCACGAGCTGAGGACTACCCACAGCAGGCCAAGAAAAATAGTCCTGGCTGCAGACCCTGGCATTTCCCTCACACCTTGTTTAAACAGCCTGAGTTCAAACCTGAGTCCAGAAAATGTGTGCTCTAGACTGCAGAATCCTTTTGTTCAGCTGCAAAGGATGCCTCAAGCGGAAATGCCACCACTACCCAGGCTGCGCCCACCACCAGAGCCCAGAGTCCTGCCAGGACCTGCGGCCTCTGGCCATGCAAGGCCACCCAGGTTCTCATGGTTATTCCAGCCATTCCAGCTGGGATGTAGTTTGCATCCACCAGTCCTGGCTTGCAGTGACACAGAAAATCTCAAGAACACTGCTTTACTTTTTTTTTTTTAAAGGAGAAAAGCAACAATCACCACCAAAAAGCTTAAAAAACAAAACAAAAACCCTGCAGATTGCATGGGAAGCACATTTTTCTCCAGAGGGGAAAGTAGCTCAAATTATGACAGTCACACACGCCTACAACCAAAGCAGTAAATGGTCGTAACACCAAAGAATGTGAAATAAAACTCCACTGTGTTCCACTGTCTGCCAAATAAAAGCAGAAACAAGATACTTCACAAACTACTGTGCAACTTGTATCAATTTAATTTCATAAAAAATTAGGTGCAGACTCACGCTGGTGACTAAAAGCGCTGTTTCGTCCATGGTTGAATACACTGACCTAGGGGACTAAAACCCAGAACTAAAACAACCTCGTTAGTATTTTATTTTTAACGTTTTACAACAAAAAATTTGTGCACTTAATCAAGAAGACCCACAGACTAATTCAGCATGTAAAATAACATTACAAAAATGCACAGTAACACTTTCAGATCCACTTTTATTTTCTTTTCCTCACACAGAACTTATCCACACACCACGATTCTCGCAGCTAACGTCACTTGATGTTGGCAGGCACCATTTCAGCCCTCAACCTTTGTTGCATCAACGTACAGCAGTTACCCAGTGTTAGATCCATAAAATATTTACACAGCACGGCACAGAAGCTCGGACACTTGGCAATTCATAAAGAGGACAAGACCCTCCCATCTAACGTTTGCAGTTGGGGTTCACTGGTCCCTATCTGGTGACGGAGCACGGGTTCAAAGGGCAGCAGAGGCAACAGGCAGCAACTTCAGAGGGCACTGAGCGCTACGGTCTGGAAGCATGTTACGATGTCACCCAGTGTCACGTACCACCCCACCTTTCTCCAAGGTGTCTTCCACTCTAGAATGGCAGGTCCAGCTGATAGAAAACGACTGACAACACAACATTTATTCTTTGGAGGCGTCCTACTCATACTATGCATGTGCTGTGACTTTGAACACAACTCGTCCCAGAAACTTGTCACGGTCATCATTGCTTTTTAGGTTGGGTGATCCATCAATCTTGCACTCAACTGTGACTTCTTTCTTAGTGGTGTTGGATGCAAAGGTGACCTGAACAGCAACTAAGGGCTGTAGATACCCCACCTGGAAAAAAGGAGAGAACAGTCACAATTCTATGATCACTTCATGCGTACTGTTAGGATTGGCTTACTGTCCAAAAAAACAAAAATGGTTTTTATTGTTTGTTTGTTCTGAGACAGGGTCTTGTTTTGTAGTTCAAGCTGGCCTCAAACTCACAGCCCTCCTGCTTCACTCTAAAAATTTTTTAAAAGCCAACTAACCGGGCCTATTATTTTATATTCTTTGCTTTTTTTCCCCCATTCCTTTTTTGGTAGCACTGGGGTTTGAACTCAGGGTCTTACACTTGCGAGGCAGGTAGTCTACCACTTGAGCCATGCCCCTCACCTTTTTGCTTTAGGTATTTTTCCAATAGGGGTCAGGCTTGGACCACACGTGCACACCATCACACCCAACTTTTTACTGACTGAAGATGGGGTCTCATGAACTTTTTGACTAGGCTGGTCTTGAACTGCAATCCTCCCAACTTCTGCCCCTGAGTAGCTGAGATTACATATGAGCCACCGCACACCTGGTGTTTTTTTTTAATTGATAAAAGCTGAAGACTATGAATTTTCCTCTAAGCACTGCTTTAAATGTATCCAACAGATGTTACTATGTTCATATTTCTGTTCGGATATTGTATAATCTTGCTTTGAATTTCCCTTTTCAGTAGTTTATATTTTGAGGAAGAAAAAGCATCACACTAGGCTTTTCTATTTCTTCTGTACTTTTCTATTTTCTCTAAGTACATATATATAACTATGTCTATATACACACAAAATATGCATGTGTGGGTTTTGTGTACATATGTCATCTCCACTTGCCCTTGCTATTTATTTTAAAAAAACCCAAGTTGCTGCATAAATTACAGGCATATGTCTACCGACCACAGATAGATAATGTTTCAACAAACAGGTGTTCCAATTTCCCAAAAGAGTTAAGCACCATAAAGAAACTTTTACTTACGTGCAGTTTTTTCCCATAATATGGAAAATACTTTAAATCTATAATTCCATAACTAGGAAAAGTTGATAAAAGTGCAATGTTTTCATCCTAAAGTTGAAAGCAAAAGAAGTCCTGTTTAGGTCACAAGAAAAAACTTTAAAAATGTTTTTTCAATTACAGCAGTGTCAGCTATGAAGAGTTTGATTTACAGACAGTCCCGCTCAGAGGTGGCCTGTGAGTCTCCTCTGCCAAATGCCAGCTCTTGGCCCTACAGCAGGTTTTCTATATTCCGTATGGAAAAGCTGCCCGGGGTAGAGGTGGGTAGAGGGCGGGTGGGGGGGGGCTGAAGGGGTGGGAAGCCCATAGGGGCAGGTACAAACGCTATGGTTCATAAGCACAGTAACCGATGTGATGGACAAAACAACTGACTCGAATTTCCCATGAGTCTACATATGGAAATCAGCAATCTATTGACATTCCATGCTTTTGAAAAACTGACAGAGCTGGAGGCATGGCTCAAGTGGTAGAGCACTTGCCTAGCAAGCGTGAGGCCCTGGGTTCAAATCCCAGTACTGCCAAAATGATAAATAAAACAAGAAACTGATAAAGACACTCTCGGTTGAATGAACTAAGTCCTACTTTCTGGTTTTGTCAGTGCTGGAGATCCAACCCAAGGAAGGCGTCATGAGTGCGGAGTGCACACTGCCACTGGCACATTCCTAGCCTGTAATTTTGACTTTTGAGAGCACACAGGAAGCAATATAGCAAAAGTATGACTTTATCTAACAAGAAGCTCTGCTCTGCCTGCTTCATCTCCCCATCTGTGTGACGGAGTCAAAACTGGCAAGAGGCAGGGCACAGGGCACAGGATGGGCCCTAAGGACATGGCTGAAGAGCGAGAGTAGTGCGGCAGCGAGGGTGAAACTGCAGGAGCCACCTCGACTCACCCTCCCACTCCCATACCACCTCCACTTGTACTCTGAGCTAAAAAGCTGAGCATGGGGACTCGGCACAGTGGCAGGCTGTGCTTAGACTGACAGAGGCCTTGGATTTAATCCCCAGCACTGGTGGTGGAAAAAAACATCTAATATTCACTTTACATTGCAGGGGGAAAAGGTCACATTTTTCTGCATTGTCTTTGTTGAACCTGTTTAACCTCAATATATGAACTCCGTTCACAGAAATGACACAAATATGAACATTAAATCCTTCGCAGGAATCATGCTTTAAAACTCACCTAAACTACGTGAGAGGTAAATGCACACTTACCAAAAGGAGAACATGAAATATGTGCAAGTGCTTGTTTTGAACAACTTACAAACTTTTACTACTTCAAGATAAATTCAAAAACAAGAAATAAGATGCTCTTAAGACTAAACTGTGTTTTAATTACTAATTCTGTTTTTCATTTTTGGTTGGACTGGGGCTCAAGCTGGGCTTTGCTGCAGCAAAGCAGGCACGCTACCATGTGAACCGCACCTCCAGCCCCTTTTGCTCTGGTTATTTTGGAGGTGGAGTCTTGAGAACTATTTGCCTGGGCTGGCCTTGAACTGTGATCTTCCTGAGTAGCGAGGACCACAGTTGCGAGTGCCCTGTGGTGTTTTTTTTTTTTTTCCATCTTATCCAAGTTCCTGCAGAAGTGACTTTGGCATGAGGTGTTAAGTGACTGCCTACAATTACACATGTACACCTCCACCCAGATGAGAAGCCACAAGTTCAAAGGGCTTTTGTACATCAGCACGCTCAAGGGTGGCCCAGAGACGATCAGAAACACACACCTCAGCTCTACTTGAGACTTGAGTCAGAAAGCAAGGGACGAGACACAGCCAGCCCAAGCAGTCCTGATGCCTGACCAAATTTGCAAACTAGTGAGCAGGCAGCTTCTGCCCAAACAAGAACTCCATCATGATAAGAAGAATTACAATTTCCCACAACTCTGAAAGTGATTTAGATGTAAGCTTTCAGGACAATCACTTTTACCATACAATTAGAGCTGAGCACTAATATTTAGCACAAGCATAAAATTAAATTTAGAGCTTAACAACTGCTCCTTAGAGCTCTTACCCATCTTTTACACATTTGTTTTAGTTGCACTTGCAGCGTGGAAAGAAAACAAAAGAAGTTATGAGCTAAAAACTGCACAGCACAGGAACAGGGTGAAAAATGCCTCTACCTGAAGGAAAATGCACCATGTCTCACTAATGCTCAGATAGCACTGATGGCTAGCTAGCAAACCAACTCATGTTTTATTCAGAAAGAAAAAATCATGATGTATTTATTATCAAGACACCTGCAATCACAATCCCAACCTCAGTATGACGAAGCTGGGAAAAACAGTCCTAGAACAGATGGAATGCAGTCTACGTTGAGTGTCATGTGGACAAAATCAATACACATGGAAAGTGTGTTTTTGAATTATTATTATATTGAAAAGTTTGGTGGAATTATATCTAAGAATGGCATTAGAAAGGACTTTAGAATATGGCAGGGAAGAAAAAATGGTGACTAAATTCACCGATTTTTATTTTAAGAAGCAAAGCTGTGAGAAGTTTGTGAATACTAACCTTTGGGACACAGACTATCCTTGGGTCTCCTTCAGGCTTCAATCCGATTATCTAGGGTGAGAAACACTGATCAACACTGGACGGAGCAGCCAATACGTAATAAATACAAATAAATAACAAAGGGGATTTTTTTGGTATTCTGAATTCATACGCAGTTGATGAGTGTTTACAAATGTAAACACAAGTACAAAGCCAAGTACTGCTGCCATCTACACAGTATGACAGCAATCCTAGCCTTGCCCATTCAATGACTTTGGAACAATGCTGCACTGCACACAGTAGGTATACACAAGCCAGTGCTGATCCCAGTGCCCGAGTCTGTCCTCCTGCTGACCCTGCAAAGGACCCTACAAACAACATGGTCTCAGACTCCATTCTCTCTGAGGACACTCTAAGGAACAGTGGGAAGCAGGTCCTTGGCAGACAGAGACTCTGCCTCTTGGCTTTATGTCGGGAAGAGATTTTCAGCAATCTAGATGTTGTGAGGATACTTCTAGCAGACCAGGATTACAAAAAGCACCTCCATTAAAACACTTAAAATTTAATTCTCCTTATACTCCAGATCATCCAGCCTCACATTACTTTTGGTTGACTGTTAACCTTAATTAAGTCTTGTTGCAACACCCCACAAATCATGGGCTGAGTGTATCCCATGTACTAGGCAAAGTTTCAGAAGATCTCAAGTGTTATGGTACAATCTGCAAGCTGTCATTGCCCATGGCGTCTCAGAGTGACTGTTGGGAAGGACAGAAGGGTATGAGTCTGGGCACTTCAGGGTTTAGTGGTTCTCCCTATAGGGAAAGTCCTTATTTAGCAGTGCCAACTTCACAAGACAGATGTTTTATTTTCACTAGGGATAGTAGCAATTTGCTTATCAATGGCGACTTCAGTGAGATAAGAACTCATGGTGTTGAGAGGTCTTAACACCTATTTAAGATACTGCCCTGTCCTGGGTAAATGACCAGGAACGATCTCATCTTCAAGGGAGACCTTGACAGGCCTCAAAAGGAAAACTGTCAGAACACAACTTGCAGCACAGCATTTAAAGTGCAAGAAGGTTCAGGGGAGTGCTTGCCTTGTTACACAAGAGCTGCAACTCCCTTTGTACAGGACCCCAGCACATCACTACTGTCCCAAATAAACATGAGTTTTACTTTACTAACCCTGTACAATTCAGGCACTCCAATGAAACAGCAAAATGATGCTACGTTGGCTATTTAACTACACATCCCATTAAGTTCATTAGAATGTGATTTTATTTGTATTTCTACTAATTAATTACACATCATAAAACTATACTTTGTTACTAAATATTCAGAAAAAGTTAAATATATAATCCATGATAAATCTGTAAGCCTATTTTTTGTCATATTAATTTTTTCCAAATTAATGATTATCACTGCTAGCCTTCTAAGCAATGACCCAATAGCTAACACTTAGTAAGGAAGGCATTAACTCAACCAGAACAATCTAGAACCCATTGCCAGCTTCTTAACAGAGGACACTGGAAACAAGCAGCAGCCAACATAAGGGATGTACATACTCTGTTCATTTTCACAAGAATACATGGTGTTCCTTGGGAATAGCCAAAATCAGGATCATTCAGACCACTGCACTCTTGAAGTAAGAAAACAGGAAACTGACATGCAACATAAACTGGACCCTTCTGTTCAAAAAGTGTTCCATCACGACAGTCTGTGAGATTCTTCTGCTCTTCTAAGGAATATGCTAGAAAAGAAACATATATGTACTGGATAAGCCAAAAAAAAAAAAAAAAGACATTAAACACACAAGGAATACATCATCCTCTGAATAATGTTCTTCAAAGAAAAAAACAGCAACAGTCATTACCAGCTAACATCGAGGGAAGAATGTTAAGAGCTGTCTATGCCATAAGAATACAAACTGGATGACAGATCAGTCTCTTTTGTCATAATTAGATGACACCAGCCATGGCTACAGCAATATCAGAAAGCTTTCTATATGCCTGGCCCAAAAGATACATTGGTGAGGATGTAAAAGGCACTGCCCCTGCTCTCACAGAGCTTACAGTCTACTGGGGAAGCCAACTTTATAAAATCACAATATGAAGACAAACAGCACTATGGCAGGGTACACTAAGAGGGATGCATCTGAGCTCAGAGCAGAAGAGTATGTGTGGGTATTTGGGGTAAGTAGGAGCAAAGAAACTAGATCCAACCAAAGCATGTGATGAAAGGAAGTCCTCGGAGAAAGCTGGGGCAGGGTGTTTCCAGAGACACAGGAGACTACTGCAAATGACAGTTTACAGATAAGGGAGTCAGAAGAGAATGTCTACATACAGCAGAATAAAATAAAGAGTAAGTATAAAATAGCAACAAAAATGAAACTAAAAATATCAATTAATTACTGCTGAATTGAGAAGGGGAAGGTCCAAGGCACGTGAAGTGATAAATCAATAACTAAAGGTGACAAACAATACATCAATAAGTAAAAACAATAAACGACCAGCAGAAGAAATTTAAAGATACAGAAAAAACTCACCATAAGAAAAAAGGTCAAAAGCATTAAGTTATTTCATACTGAAAATGGACCCAGAATGAGACTTTCTCAGTCCACTGCCTCTCTCCTGCAGAGCCACCACCGGCACAGACCTGAGTGACTGTAACGGCTTCCTCAATCCACCGTCCCTGGCTCACCCTCCACCTGGCTTCTGTGACGAACCATGAACATGCCAGACACGTGGTCTCTGCACCCATGGCGTCTTGGCGCATTTCAAGGCTACTTTCCCTCACTGCCTTCAATATTCCAAGGGGTTCCTTTTCACGCGGCCTCCTAGCCTTGCCTATCTGCTTTCTCTTCTTCCTCAGAACTTTCACCTCTGATACACCACTATACTACAAACTCCACGAAGGAAAGGGTTTTCTTTTGCTCACTGCTGGAGCCCAGATGAGTGCTTGCCACAAAGCCCGCTCTCAATGAGTTAACAGGACAGCAGCTGGAAAGGAGGTGGTCAGGGAACTACTGCTCTCCATGTGGCTCTACCACTTGATATTAAATCTCAAACAATACTTCCATTATTTAAATAACAAATACGCAGCTAACTGTTGGGTATTTTTGAGATAGGGTCTATTTGCCCGGCTGGCCTCAAACCATAATCCTCCTGATCTCTGCCTCCCAAGTAGCTAGGATTACAGGCATGAGCTGCTGGCGTCTGGCCAGATCCTTTATGCAGCCATAATGTTGTATCTTAACAAATTTAGAGCAGGTATAGGGCAGGGAAAAAAAAAAAAAAAATCAAGTTGACTGTCCATGAGGCTTAGGCCCCTATGTCTGCATAAATCAGAATATTCTTACAATTACTTTAAAAATTTACTTGTAGGTCCTCTTAGTTGTCTGTGTTTAAAAAAAAGATAAACCAATAGTAATATATCTAAAAGTAATCACTATTTGTTAAAAGGTGCTATGATATCTAAACATTTTACTTTATTAAAAGAAAATATACTTACACTTTAGAAACCTCTTAAGGTCGTTAATGTACCCTTCGTAGGATTTTGGGTCAGACATACTAAATGTATATTCCAATGCAGTCACTGGTTTTGGAAAAACTGTAAGTCCTAAAAAGAGATAAAAGAGAAAGGGGGGAGAGATACTAACCACCAAGTTCTTTCTTCTCTCTCTTATCCCTAAAAAGCAGATCTCAATATGTAACACAATCTCAGGTAAAGTTATCAACAACCTCTGATCTCTACCTAATTACAAAAGACATTGGAAATTAAAGAGAACTCAAATCTTCAAAACTATCTCAGACAATACCAATTAGAAAAGTCTCTTCAATTTGATCATTTTCAGCTAGCTTAAAAGATGCAATTTTACTTACACATCTAGCTGCAAGAAATCATCAGGTTCCAACTAACACAATCATTCCTCATATCTAGCAGTTTTATACTTGGTACACATATGTACGTGTGCGCATGTATATTTACTTACACACTAAGCACTATAATATACTTGATAAGTAACTTTAACAAAACCACTGCTTATGTATTTCATGCAAAACAGTTATTTCTAAAATAGACTATGTTCAATGGTAGTAAAGTCATATACCTTTAGACAGTAAGAAAATAGGTTTTTTTCTCTGAGACAGGGTCTTGTTATGTAACCCAGGCAGGTCTCAAACTCAAGATCTTCCTGCTCCAGTCTCCTGTGTTGGGATTACAGGCATATACTACCACACCCAGCAAAAATAATTATCTTTGAATTAGCCCAGGTAGGAAGAAAACAGGCTAAAATGAGAGATGAGGGGAAAATTAGTGAGGAAATAGTCCCTGACACTTGGTCAAATAACTAAGAGATTAAGAGAAAATGTTTTTTTCTGGATGCTTAGACAAATACTAGCTGTAAGAAAGGCAATCACTGAACAAACTGTTCTAAGAAAAAGTGGATGTGGAAAGTGGTTCAGTTTGGCTAATGTTGCTCAGAGGTCTGTCTGTCCATCCATGCAGTGAGAGAGGATATGGACTAGGGCTCCTCAACCTCAACACTGTGACACTTGAGGGTGGGTGGCTCTTGTGGTGATGGCTGTCCTGTGCATTGTAAGGTGTTCAGGAGCACCCCTAGTCTCTACTTACAATAGCACCTCTCTCATCCTGATAGCTAAAAATGTCTCCAGACACTGCTGAATGGCCCCTGGAGGACAAAACACAACTGGAAGAAGAACCCACATCTCTAGAAAGAAACCTCTTGCTAGACTCCTACAGTCCCAGCTTGCTGGCCTTCACTCACTCTTCCCTTCTTCACGTATAGCCTTCCCTTCTCTGTGACCACTTCTAAAAGTTGCTCCTTTGGGGAATTATAAATGGTGAAATTCTGCACATGACTGTTTTTTCTCTATGAAGTGCAAGCACCGGCCTGGGGATGCAGCTCATTGGTACAGCACTTCTCTAGCATGCATGAGAGGCTCTGGGTTCAATTTCTACCAACACTAAATTAAATAAATAAATGAGTATTACCAGCATCTTGAGAACAAGGGCCATGCCCCACAATCAAGGCAGAGCTGGCCTACAAAGGTACGTCAAGAGAATGAAAGTAGAGGGCTGGAGTGTGACTCAAGTGGCAGGGCACTTGCCTCGCAAGAGCAGCCTGAGTTAAAGCCCAGTACTGACTGCATTCCCCCAAAGAATGAAGTTAAATCAGGAGGTAGAAAATATAATAAAATAAATGCTCCAGGTAAGAGTTTGTTTTGTTTCTTTTCTTGGTGGTGCTGGGGTTTGAACTCAAGACCTCAAGTCTGCTAGGCAGGTGCTACACCACTTGAGCGAATCAAGTAAGAGTTTTTACTAAAGTATATTCTCTAGCATAAAGGAGAATTTTTTTCTCAAGACAATAAAGAATTAAACAATATATATTAATTTTTATCTCTAATGAAGTAATTTAACATTTTAAGCCACCTTCATAACTAAACAATTAGAACCACAAAACATGCATTTATTATTAGACTAATGATATAACCCAAGCTAGAGCCAAGATATCTACTTTCTATGTAAATTACAAAGCAAAGTGAACCTTCTATAATCTTCACACTACCATTTCAAACTGTAACTCTTATTCAAACTTACTTCGCTAAAATTCCAATACTCATTACTGATTATCCTGACAAAGGATTCCAGTTTTATCAATAAAGGAATATGAAGGTCTTTAACAACAGTATGTAAATATTAAAGAAAATAAAATCACTCCCATCGCCCAACTCCAAGGTCTGTCTTCTCTCTGCTATAATAAAAACCAGATTTATGGCGAATGTAAAGTACACCCCGATTTTGTTTAAGAAATCTAACTGTAACATATTTACCTGGACTAGGAATCTGGTCACGGTATTTTGGAACCTCATCATTGAGAGTCTGAAGCATGGCCCACATTGTAAGTGTGAAGAGTGCGGCCAGGAACCCATAAAAAAGTAGGTAGAAGAGCAAGATCAAACCTGCAAGGGAAATGAAAGTGTGAAATGTGGAGCCACACATATGCACAAATTTGGCCAGGTTAAAAAACAAACCAACTGATCACTTCGAGGCTGAGCCCAAGCTTTGCTATGCACAGCAAATACCCGCACACTGAAGATGCGTGAGTTCACCCAGCAAGGCGTACTTAGCGGACAGCACCCACTCATCCCAGGTCAGAGCACACAGGGAAGTGTTTCCCAAAATGAACTCAATTCCCTCTGAAAACAGAAGAGATTGGGGGGGAGGAGGGGGCAGGGAATGCCCTCCACCCTCCCTCAATATATTTCCATGTTTCTTCAAGTGGCCATAGGGAAAAAAACCTTTATTTCACAGTAATTCTTTGTGTTTAAGTTTAAGTTTTAAAGAGCTGAAAAAAAGTGAGTTGATTTAAAGAAGAATAATGTGTAGAGAAGGCAAAATCGTGAAGGTAGGAGTCAGTGAGTAGTCAGGAAACACTGGGCAATGAACAGCTCATGCAGAACGAACAGAGAACGAGCCCAGAGTTAAGCACGCTAGTCAGGGAACCTCATGGCTCTACTGCTGGGCTCAAAGCAAGATGTGACACACACATTTCAAAACAGGGCCTGGTCCCTTCCTTCACATTTGGACATACCTGGATCTATCTGAAGCCAATGACTTACTTTGGGAACACCTAAATGTCAGTAATTTCTCTCAGTATCTACATTAACATCAGACGTGATCAACCTTTAAGAAAATTACACATCAAAACAGTCACTCATTTCTAATTAAATGATTAAAATTTGACTGACATTAAATTTCTAGACTCTGCAACAGGGAGGACTATTTAACTCTACAGAATTCAGATTATAACAGCTTTAGTTCCCAGTTTTTAGTCTGATTTTTTGGGCAGTACTGGGGTTTGAATTCAGTCTCACACTTGCTAGGCAGGTGCTCTGCTACCTGAACCATTCCACCAGCATTTCCCAGGTCTTAAACCTACTTTTTTGTTTGCCTGATTCTGTTCCTAGCAAAGGACAGAGCAGGGGTGCCAAATGCACCCTCACTACCTCCACAAGAAGTAAGTAATTTCAGAGAGTTTCTGAAGATATTTATTCCCCCTCGCCAGAAAGTGGCTACACAACTTTCTTCTGATTCTCAAACAAGTCCATGACCCCAAAACAGAGTTTGCCAAAAGCCCTGGCACCCCCCCCCCCCGACTCCAAGTAAAGGGGAAATAGTTAAAGCTATTTCATTTCAATTTAGAATAGCATTCTACCCTTCCCCCCAATTACCAGGAGGCCAAGAAAGAAGCGAGAGGACAGAAGGAAGAAAGGACAGGATGTCACCTTCAGGCAGGCATCACTCCCCTACCACCTACTGCGATCCTGCTGCAGAAAAAGAAAAGGAAGACGAGTCTCAAAGGAGAGATCCACCCGCTGCCCAGGGTAACTAAACATGCAGAAAGCAAGCCCACAACCACTTAGATGCCGCGCAGAGAAAGTGATTCTTTCAGACCAAGGAAATATGGATAAAATCCTCTGTACAGCAGGCCAGGGCCAGACACATTTAACTAATGAGCGTGGCAGCATTCCAGTAAAACTTCACTTTATTCTGATAGCATTTTCAAATTTTTTATTTTTAATTTTCAGGAAAAATAATGCAAGTGAAATTTATAAAACATCACAAAACAAACGAATATATAGCAGACATAAGCAAACTGTATTCAAATCTATCTTCTATATTTTTCTTTTTTCTTTGGTAGTACTACGGTTTGAACTCAGGGCTTTGTAGTTGCTAGGCAGGCATTCTACCATTTTGCCCACATCCCATGCCTCAACTTTGCCTTCTAAAGAACCATTACACGATGAAAAAATAAATGTTAAAATTTTATATAATTACATTCACGAATATATGTGAAAATTAACAGTCATGTCCCACATGTGACGTCACACACTACCGACCACTGAATACAAGCAAGTCAGTTATTTTCAGCACTGATTTTTTCCCTAGTTGAAGACCAAACCTCGTAAGTCAACCAAGAAAAGCTGGGTGTGGTGGCAAGTGTCTATATGTCTGTTATCCCACCTATGCAGGATGCATGGGAAGATCGCGTCCCAGACCAGCACAGGCAATAAAGCCAGGGCCTATCTCAGAAATAACTAAAGCAAAAAGGGCTGGGGGTGTGGCTCAAGTGGTAGAGCACCTACGACTGAGCTCAAGGCCTGGAGTTCAAACCCCAGCACTAGACAGACAGACAGATAGACAGATTGACTGTTTGCTGGGGCAGATGGTCCTGTAGGCTGAGGCAGGAGGATCCTGATTTCCAGGCATTCCTGGGCTACACAAGATCCTATCTCAAAAAAAAAAAAAACAAAACAAAGCCAGGAGCCAGTGGCTCACGCCTGTAATTCTAGTTACTCAGGAGCCAGAGATCAGGAGGATCACGGTTCAAAGCCAGCCCAGGAAAATAGTTCTCGAGACACTATCTCAAAAAAAAAAACCCCTAAAACCACAAAAACTAAACAAAACAAGATGAACCAGCAGGAAGAGCAAAGCAGCAAGAAATGTGGCTGAGGTATGCCCTCTGTCGTGCCCTGTCCTGCTACTGTTTCAGCTCCAATTGCGTATAATTCAATTCTGACTATAAGCAGCTCAGGGCACAGACCTGAGACAGAAGCCACTGCTGCAGGTGGCTCACCAAGCTGAGATGGTCTACCTGAGGTGTCTCTTCAGGACACTAGAGGACCACAAGAACTTGGAAAAGCTGTATTTAGGATCCAGTCTAATAATAAATGAAACAAGTAAGGTAGGGTGTGGGAGGGAACTCGGTTTCTGTGCTCACTCCTCATGGAATCCCAGCACAGCTGCTCCTCAATTTTGCAGGCTCACTCAAGCTGCGGTGTTCAGTTTTTCCTGGGGTCTCCCTCCCTTCCTGGAAGTCAGGCTAGCTCAAAGTCCAGCATTACCGGGACTTAGGTGATCTTTCTGGGGGCCACATTTTGCTACCATAACAAAGACAAACAATCCTCATCACCCCCATGATCCAATCCTGCGCTGAGCAAATGTGCAGGCACCAGTTACTAGGAGGACTGTGCCTCTCGCATAATTTTGATGACCACAGCTATTTCCACTTGGTAAATTGTTTGTGGCTGAAATTTTTTTAAGCAGAGAGTCCAGGTATAATTTTTTAAAAAGTAATTATATGGACCAGGCAGAAGTTCAAAATCCTGTGTATATTTGAATTTTCTTTTTTGGGGGTGCTGGGAGTGGAACCCAGCACATGTTAGGCAAGTGATTTACCACTAGGCTACATCTTTAGCCCTGTATATATAGATACAGGTATTTATCTTAAAAGATGTTATTTAGGTATAATTCACACTGATATTTAAAGATTGCTGTTTATTCAGTTTTTGTATATTTAGTGTTATATAATCACCACCACAAACTTTAGAGTATTTTCAGCACCCCTCCAACCCCACTCACCCTCATTCTTCTCTATTCCTTACCCCACCATGCTCCTGGCAAGCACTGTTTTATTCTGTTTCTACAGATATGCCCATTTTCTAAAAATTTCATAAATGGAATCATGTAATATGTGGCCTTTTGATATTGGCTTCTTTCATGTGGCATGTTTTCAAGATTCATCCTCATCTAAGCACCCCACTCCTTTTTGTGGCTGACTAGCGTTCCACTGTGTGGATACCCAACATTTTATTGTTGAACTGTTCACCTTTTAACCAGCAATTGATGGGTCAGATGCAATTCTCCTGCTGTCGGGATCAACCCAAGGCCCTGTGGTACGGGAAAGCACCCTACGGCTGAGCCAAACCTCCAGCCCAGCCTTCTGAATAGCTGCCAGACAAACATCTTTACAATTCACATTTCTGCCAGAAGGGTTCCAAGTTCTGCACACCCTACCACCTCTGGCCCCAGTGGGTGTGGCGTGGTGTCTGTGGGTCTGACTTGCACTGCTCTAACAGCTAATGGTGCTGAGCATCTTGCTAGAACTCACCGGCATTTCCATATCTTCTCTGGAGAACTGTCTGTTCAGAGTTTTTACCCATTTTTAAATGAGGTTATCTTTTTGTTATTGGTTCTAAGAGCTCTTTACATATTATAGATACAAGTCCCTTATCAGATATGATATGCAATTATCTCCTCTGAATTTTCATGAGAGTGTCCTTTAAAGCAGAAAAATTCCAATAAAGTCCAGTTTACCTATTTTTTTCTTTAAATTGTGTTTTTTGTGGTACTGGGATTTGAATTCAGGGCCTCATGCTTGCTAGGCAGGAGCTCTTACCACTTGAGCCATTCTGCCAGCTCTTTAAATTGTGTTTTATCATATCTAAGACAACACTGACTAATCCAAGATCATTAAGACTTACATCTGTGTTTACTTCTAAGAATTTTATAATTTTAGCTCTTAAATTTGTGTCCTTGACCCATTAAGCTGATTTTTGAATATGGATTAAGGTGGGGTCCAATAGTTTTGTGAGTGAATATCCAGTTGTCCCAATATTGTTTATGAAACTGTTTGTTCTCTACTGAAAGAAAGCACAGATTTTTAATACTAAAAGCGTGTACCATTCTTATAAAATCTCTGTAGACATACAGACACACACAGGCTCTCACATTTTACATATTCATTATAGTCATGGTAGTACCAACATGGGAATGGTTTTAAGACTGAGCTCTCCACAGTCCAGTAACTCCGTGTCTTACCTGGCCTGCGCTCCCAAAGCTTTAAGCTACATTATATTTTCTAATCCAAGCTCTACTCTCTGAAGTGAGTCATTCAAGCACTCTGTTACTGATGGTGGACATTTACTGAGGACCATGATTTGGCCCTTATTCCAGTGTTCAGTCATTACAAGTAAATAACTGAGACGAAACAAGCAAGCATGCTGGCTCGTCAAAGATGGGAGCCCCAGAGATGCACTCTGGGTCAAAGATCAGGTGACCAGTGGAATAGCACAACAGAAACTACCTTGAAGTGGGAACAGAGTAGGGTACTTGGGCT